GTAAAGCCACTCGTTACATCAAGAAACCAGAAAGGGCTTCGATAAAATCGTGTCCGTAGAAATTTATATAAGATTATGGTCGACGATCCGACGAAAGTTTGACCAACCTGTGTGGTCTAATGGCGACAAACACGTAACGGCTACTTAATCGACGGTTTTGGTGAACATTCGAGCCAATTTCGGCTACCGAGTCGCGCGACCAAGCCTAATGAATAGCGTTTAATTAAAGCCTATAAATCCACAGGACGACGGAACGACCGATGTTCGAAACGAAACATGCGATTTCACGGTAACAAAACCAAGTGGACTGTCGAAAAGCTGTCGCGAGACGGCCGACAACATTTCCTACCATGCAATAAAATTTCAGGAATGTGTTGCGCTCGTTTAGAGACACGATCGAAATCTGATCAGACGGTGACTTACATGGAGCTATTCAAATGTAGTCCTCACTGATTTCGATAAGAATGGACAGAATGGCAAGTCTGTAACGTATGTGTTGGATGGTTTTATTTATACCCTTACATCCCTGTACATCTCTAGAATTCGTATGTCTATGAGATTTCTATATATCTAGGATCCTTATATTCCTAGGGTCTCCACAGTCTTAAGGTTTCTGTAATCCAAGGATCTCTACAGCAAGGATATACATTTTTATATATATATAGGTAGAATTCTTATGTTACTGGGATGTCTACATATATTCCTAGGATCTCTACATTTCCAGGTTCTCCACGTATACACTTAAGATACTTATATGCTTAGGATCTCCATGTGCGTGGGATCTCTATATGCCTAGAGTCTCTACATACTTAGGATCCCTATAGCCTTAAGATCTCATTGTTCCTAGGATCTCCATGTACGTGGGATCTCCATCCCTAGAGTCTCTACATACCTAGGATCCCTATAGCCTTGAGACCTCTATAGCATACCTATATCGCTAAAATCCCTACATCCTTAGGATATCTATATCTCTGGAATCCCTATATACCTGGGTCCCCTACATACCTAGAATCCCTATATACCTAGGATCTCTATTATACCTAAGATCTCTAGGATTACTAAGTGTATCCCTCTAACCCCTATATCCCTGAATTCTTAACATTTCTGCTGCATAATAACCAACGCCTAACGTAAATCTTGTTGCAGTTGTATTAATTACAGCTTAGAATCTCGTCGAACCGACATAGCTTTCAATTAATTAGAAATATTGCTCTGATATAGCAGAACAGAAATCGGGCGTTTAATAGCCGCGAATACTTCGGAAGAAAACGATCGTTGGAATGTCGAACGCGATACGTAAATATGGCGTGGTGGGCTGTTATCGTGTGAAAAGCCGCGGAGTCTATGTTCACGGAAATACTACGAATTAAATCAACGTTACGATTTATAATAGTCGGACCGTCATTAATTACTTCTATCATCTTATCGGCAATTTATTTGATAACCCTGTACAAGCGAATGCACTTAATGAGCTGAGATGTTTAAGGAGTTTTTCGCGCGAGCTAAAACCGGATAGAGCGAGTTTAGAACACCTCGCCCAGTCGTAAAATCCTACACAAAGTCTCGGGGCGCGAACGTGATGACGCAATATGGGGACTTCACCGAGGGGAAGAAAAAGAAGGAGCAAAGGTCTCGCGTACCGAATAAATTGCATGGAAACGGACGCTGAGCTCGCGGTAACCGGACATCACGATCCTGGACGTCATATAAGATCGTAGACACCGAAGAATATTTATGCAAATGAAAGCGTAAAACGCTCGCGATACAATTTACTTGGTCGTTATCGTACCGTTTTACTATCGTGCCAGCAACACGGCTTACCAAAAGGAGAGACGCGAGTTACGGAGGCACCTCGTGGAAGCTGCATTTAGGAAGCGACTTTTAATTGCAACTGCCGTGTACTCGACCGATAACGCGGACAATTTTTTCCTTTCTCTCTCTTTTTAATATCCCGAGGATTAAACATTGATTTCGTCGCGTGTTACTCGCAATCGCGTGGCAATGTAACCGCTAACTAATACCATACACATGGCCGACCGTAAGTTCAGGATCGCACAGTCGTTTTCTTACAAATAAAATTATCGGCTTGTTAGATTGTAATGAAGTTTCCCTGGCGTACGCCGTTTTTCTTCGATAGAAAATACTGTTTACACGTTGTATCCCTTGTATCCCTTCGCGTGCTGATGATAATTAAACGTTCGTTTCTTACACTTGCAGTTTCTTCGAAAATTTACTCGATTGGGGAAGAGCTGTTCGTAACCAACATAATTTTATGTTTTCCTGTGATAAGGAAATTAACTGCGTCAATAGCTCTTTTAAACTTGTTACTCTTGGACATTCTATTATTTTATTCTATTATTGTGTTTTGTAGGGGAGGCATACTGTTTTCAGATAACATATTGTTTTAATAGATAGCACTAGTAGTTCTCCTTAAATTTAAAAAGTTCCGTTACTTTTCCGACATACTGTGTAGGAGTGGTTGCACAACATATGTGATATCTTGAACCTGTAACTTCGCATCATTGAATAGATTGAATTGAAATTCACACAGCAAATAAAAGCCATAATTTCCGTCGCGTTTTTCTAACAACTTGTACACGATAATTTACAATTTGCAAGATCGCGTGTAAGGCGTGAAAGACAACAATCCGCTTTGTATCCTTTTTACGAGAAACACGCGTGGAACATCGGAGAAACCCTTACTCACCTACGCAGATAGCTGCACCCTGTAACTCCGCCAAAGCGGGACTCACTGGAACGTGTCTGGGTGCACTCGTCGGGTGACTTTTCGTTTACAAAGCAGCGATTGTCTGAATCTTTAGCCACGCTCCAGTAAACATTTTCACGAGAACCGTGCACGGATCTCGGGGACACGGAACGAATCGTGTAAAAGCAATAACGACATTCGTAGACCTGCCGCGGACGTAAATAGAGACGGTTTGCCCGACTATTTTCGGGATCGTCGACGCGGGAAAAAAGTTATATTTCGACCAGGAACAGGATGCAACGTTACATCAACGGGTTACGCTCGGTCTCGTGCAAGAAATAGACGGTTCTCAAAAAATAAAGGAAAGAAACGAAACAATTCCCCCGTGGACCACACTAGACTCGACAGGATCCAGCGAGACAGAAACGTGAATGCAGGGGACGAAAAATAAAATGGTGTTGCTTTAATCTAGAATCGAGCGACGACGGAATTGTTGGGTCGTTACGTATCAAATAGCCCATTTCGAAACATGAGAGGTCTGACGATGTTTGGTGACATAAATGTATCGCAAAAGAGCGCTTGGGTTACAGCGATTTAGAAAATGACTGTTTTTTTTTAATACAAACACTAAACAATTCATTTTCTATTAGCAACTGTCTACAAAAATGTCTATAAAAACGTAGAAGTGCTGTGAAATTATATTTACGTTATATAAAATGTAACTTTTAAAATCAACTATTTAAATGTTTTTATATTTTCAGCAAGAAATAGCTGATTCTACGTTGAAGTAAATAATGGTCCATAAAAATTGAAACAAAGTTTGATGACATAAAAGTATATCAAAATTGCACTCATGATATATCAATTTAAAGCTTAATGATTTATAAAAATGACTGTTTAAATGTTTTTACATCTTCAGCAGAAAATGGCTGATTCTACGTCGAAGCAAACAATGGATCATCTGAACTGAAGTTTAGAAGTCTGTTAGGAAATGTCCATGAAAATTGAAACAAAGTTTGATGACATAAAAGTATTTCAAAATTACACTCATGATATATCAATTTAAAGCTTAAACTTTAACAAAAATAACCTTGTACATATTTCATTAAGTTTCCTAACATAAAATAAAATTTTTTTAATTTCAGCAAAGTGAATTTCGAAACCTATGACACAAATACCACAAATTAGCACTTAAACATGAATTTGAAGTTTATGGTTTGAAAAACACTGCATAAACTCTTAATTAATATTCATAATACAATTTTAAGCGAATAAGTTCCGGTAAATAAAGCTTCGTATGCAACCACCTGTTACTAGCGAAACTTGTTCCTTTGGTTTGGCGTAAAATTAAAATATCCCGTATGAATGGCACAATGCGAAAGTATGCGAAATATTTTTCTTGGGAAGAAAAAGGAATAATGTACGGTTGCCACGTATGGTGTGTCACTCGGACGGCTCGCAAACGAGTCGAGGAGAATCGATTCGACACGTTCTCCGGTAGGGTTGAACGAAGAAACAGGAAGAAAAGGGAATGGTAAAGGACCCCACCCTTTTTGCGGCCTAGGGCCTATGGTCCTTTTTCTTTTCTGAAAGCCACTGTGGATAATTGGAACCGCACCCAGAAACTCGTACTTCGTGTCTAGTTCTTATAATTCTTCCACTTTCCCGATAGTCACCAAATAAATATTTAAATTAACTTCCAAATTCAGAATTTCGAAACTTAAATGAGTTTCAAATGGTTAGTCACTTTGGGACTAAAAATCCCGAAATTTTATTCGAAAGTTTTTCGATCCTCAAGTTCTGAATTTCGCCTTCACAAATTTTCGAAGTTACTTTCCCATTTACAAATTGTCAAACTCTCAAATTTTCAACTGTACAAATCTACAAATTCAGTCGAGAAACTTTCAGGGGAAATTGTTCTCTTGTGACCGGAAAGCAATCAGTTCAAAAGAGGTTCAATCAATAACGAACCGATTCGTTACTGGTCCCCTTTTAATGCACATAGCATTCCACGATTTCTGATAAAAGAACACGTGTACTGAACAAGCGTTTCTTCAGTAGCCTATTAAAATTTTTCTAAAACGCTTCGTGAGTGGATCAAGTGGTAGCGAAGAGGAAAAAGCGATAAAAATGATGGCGTTTAAAAGGAAAGTTACTCGACGAACCTTATTGCGAACATTCGAAAGCAATAAAACATTTGTGAATCACTATACACGATTCATAATGTGAACATAACGGTATAACCTCTTATGGTCCTCGATTTTTTATTTATTTATTTTTTCAGCGAAATATAATGGCCATAAATATACATGACTGTGGTAACTGCGCGTTGCAATGCGATCAAATACCAAACTCGGATTATTATATCGTGAAATTGCAAAAATCACGTTGGAGGTAAATTTTTAAACCTTTGTAACAAAAAGCTGTAATTTAATTTTATGAAAAATTTTTAAAAAATGTATGGCTATTGACTGATGAATTTAATTGAAAGTTAAATTAGTTTATTTTTAATTAATTATATATGTGATTTGATTAATTTGAATAATTTTTATACTAACTTTGTACAATAATAAATTATATTCTCTAGTTATTTCTCTTCTTTTTTGACAGAGAAAGTAACATTGCTATTTCTCCTAAACATTCAGACATCTGTAGTACATCAGACACATCAAGCAAAGAATTGAAGAACCTGTGCAGCAGGTAAATTTTGTAATAAATAACAAAATAAAAGTTGAAAACGACAAAGAAATATCTGTAAGTAATTTTAATTTTAGTTCTAGCGAAAAAAGCAAGGTTTGTTCGAAGGATTCATTGTACAAAGATGCGTTGAACGAATCAAAGTTATTTGATAAAGAACAAGAACAATACCAGTAACATTATCATGCTTGATACTAAAATACGAATAACAAATGGAGTGGTTTTATTCATCATACATCATTTTTTCTTAGAGAATGTCATACTTCCCCTGTTTGCGAACATCATTCAGTAAATTACAATGAATCAGACGAGACCACTTCGTGTACCACCGATGAAAGTTCCAGGTAACTTGATAATTAATAAGAAGTAATAATGAATATAATGTTTTACCAATTTTCTGAATTTTGTAACTTTTTTGAATTTTTGAACTCATCAAAATTTTCTAAATTTCCGAATTTCTGAATTTCCAAATTCTCAAATTCCTAAATTCCTAAATTGAAGAAATTCCCAAATTCCAAGATCACTAAATTACTATATTTCTAAATTCCTCAAATTCACAATTTTTAATTTTCCAATTCCTAAATTTTCCAAATTCCTATATTCTTAAATTCGCCGAATTTCTCAAATTCCCCAAATTCCAGATTCCTAAGTTTTTCAAATTCCGAAATTCCCCAAATTCTCAAATTCTTAATTCCCAAATTCCCAAATTCCCCAAATTTCCAAATTCCCAAATTTCCAAATTTCCAAATTTCCAAATTCCCAAATTCCCAAATTCCCAAATTCCCAAATTCCCAAATATCCAAAATTCCCTAAACCCCCTAAATTCTCCAAATTCCCAAATCCCGCAAATTCCCCGAATTCCCAAATTTCCAAATACATTCCAAAATATTTCCAATTACATTGCTCTACAATTATTAAAATATTACAATGTAAGCAATTTCCAAAGCAACAAAATCAAACATGATCATTATCAACATAATTAACTTTGAAACAAACTTCCACTAACTATGTAACCATAATCTCATCTATCGGTACCTAATTACAATTACAATTATAACATTTGAATAAGGGAGTCCTTATACACCTGTGCCGACGAACACTATTCAGAATGCTTCAAAATGAAAGAATCGGAGTCTCTAGTCGATGAGTTGCTCAACCAACTCCCCAGGTAATAATGTTCGAAACTTAAGAGGCCACAATAGGCAGCAAAGAATTAAAAAAGCGACGGTGTACAGAACACAATACGTGGACGAATCTCGCAAATACTGGGAAATGATGCTACACTGCGAGAGGGCAGCGTTTCGAAGGGCAGCGTCAAATTTGCCTTTGCCCTCGAGGGAGGTACGTATATCACCAGAGGAAAGCCGGCTGAATTTAAAAGCCGAGAACTCAATTAACCCGAACGGCTAGAACTCAATTACAGATGTCGGTCTACGGGAACGCGCGGTGGCTGGTAATTAAAAAGTTATTATGCTCAGGCTCGTTTCTACTGGCACTTGTACTCGACCGCGACGAAACATTCGCCACTTTACCAGAAAGAACTGAATCAAGCCTTCCGCATTACTTTGTCCAAGTAGGCTATCGAAATAAATACCACAAATTGAATGTAACGGATCAAAATAGGAAATTGAAAATTACACGGTACTAATCTTGTACTCATAGACTCATACATAGGCAAAGAAACAAGAAAGGTGTCGCCATCTGGGAACAACTAGTACGTATCAAAACCTACGACGGAATTGGTCGAAAGAATCTGATAAATAATTTAGTACGATTCCTATGGTAAGTATATTTTTTACCGACACGAAGATATCAGTATAAAATATTTTGACCTTCCAACCATAAACTTGCGAATCAAGATATATAAACTAACAGAAATAACATAAATTTAGAGCTAAGTAAACTCTAAATTGTGTACTTGTTATACGTAGAAGAAGCATATGTAGATAAGAGTACGATAGAGTACACACGTATTCAATAGTAAGACTTATACACGTATATTATGGCATTCAGCATATATTATCCATATATTATAGCACACAGCCTCGTCTAGAATCTATTTGTCTTGAGGGCTTGTCATTAACGCCAGACGAAGGTATTCGACTCCTATCGGCACTGTACCATTCTCGTAAAACAATGAGATGCGTATATTGTTGGCGTACTTTCGAGAAAATGGTAAATATTGGCGATCGCGACGAATCAAGATCTCGTACGCATAAAAAGATCGACAAGTACGACTGGTTTCGTGCGATCGGTACTTTGAAATTTCTCACGACATTATCCGTAAATTATGCGTATATAGCTACACCTAGTGGAGATCTACTTATCCTTCTAGCCAAGTACGTGTCGATTACCAAATCTATTTTTATTCTTCTCAATCGATATAATACATTTCATAAAATTTGCTCGTATAAATATTTAACAAGATTAATTCGTATTTACTGTATAGAAAACTCGGTCAAAATTGGTTTTGGCTACAATTGTTATGCACGGAAGAAGACATTATACAGAGACAAAATGGCGGGACGAAGATTACGAAAAATGTAATACCGGATGTCGGTTGGAAGGAAGTTCACTTATGGGCACCCGCATTGAAAGTACAATATGCCATTAGTATGAAAGAATTTTATCGTTTTTATCGATATATTTCAGTTTATGAATAGCAAGTATTGATTATTAATATTTTTCAGTTGGAATACCGAATTATGATATTCACAAATGGTTCTATACGAAAAGCACTCAGGTACATACCTTTACGCTGTCGACGAGCATTGATTTTAAATTTCAGCAGCCCTGGTATCTGAATTGCACATTTAAATCACTTTATTCGTGGCACTCGGACAGTTTAGGTAATCAAAATAATAGTTTTTACTAAACTTTTATTTGTTAATTTACACCGCGAACCGTTTGCACCGTCGCCACCAATTTTTGAAATGCAACTGAACTGCCGTCTATCGAGCACTAGCGGTACTATGTCCGTTTAACGGATAACGATATTTCGATTAATATCGATGGTCGACATAGAGATGTTGACTGTTCTTCGGAAAACCGTCTTGCTATAAATCAGGTAAAATTTTGCAAATAGACTCCTTTTTATGAAGAGAAACATCTGTGAAAACGATTTTCCGTACACGCGTTAAGAAAAAATATAAAAAGTAATATTTCACAACCTTGACGACCTAGTATGCTTCTTTAGACATTTTCAAGCAATTTTTGTTGAAAAAGTTATACATATTATTGCCTATTAAGCCCAGAAAATAAATTTTTATTTGACCCCTTTACTGCGTGTTGGGGCATACAGTTTTTCAGTTTAGTTCACAGTTTCGCCGCTAGATGGCGCCACAAATTTTCTCCATAAAATGACATTTTTTCCATTTTCCTTACTAAAGCTTTCAGGAAACTTTTATTGCTTTATTTTGCTTCTAATGCGATCACATAATACTTTCTGACCCTCAGAAGTACTCAAAGTTCGCTAGTTTTCGAGAAAATCGCATTTTTATATTTTTGTAGTTCCAACTTTCACCGCTAGATGGACGCCAATTTTTTAGTCCATGTTTTGACCTACTTTTTTATTTTCTTTTTTAGCGCTCTGAGGAGGTTCTTGTGGCAATATATAGGTACTAGAGAAGCCGCAGAACAATTTCTGACCCTCAGAAATACGTAAAATTGCCTAATTTCGGAGAAAATCGAAATTTTAGTTTTTCGTAGTTCCGCCTCTCGCCTCGTAGTCCCGCCGCTCGCCGCTAGATGGCGCCACCTGTACCGTTTTGGACCGAATTCTACAAAAATTGATTTTCTGGCTTTATTATTAGCTTTATTAGGCATCAAAGCGCATCAAACCCTAATAGAAATTTGTTTCTAAATGCCTCAGGGACCATACTACGTCGCCAAAGTGCCGAAATATTGCACTTTGCATACGCAGTACAATTGACATAGGCGGCTCATGTACGTATCGGAGTGCTGACACAAAATAATTAATTACTCATTACCCGAACATTATTTATGAACTTTTATGATCGAACCATGTAAATAATGCATTGCTGACCATTCTTTAATCATAAAAACTGACCGTTCTTCAATCATATAAGTGCACAAAATATATCCACAAAACGTGTAATTAATTATTCAAATGACCTCGTGTATACGGCTTGTCACCGTGGCTGGCCTTAAGTTATTAGTTAATAACTAATTAATTTCATTAAAAATCTGAACAAATATGATACGAGAAAGTAGCTGAGAGATCACTGAACATTCTTTAATCATAAAAGTTCATAAACTGTGCTCAGAAAGTGAGTAATTAACGATTTTGCATATCATTATCGTGTATATTCCTCCTGCGCGCCGCCCGCGTATGCCACGGAGAAATAGTCACCGAAAAACCATATCCCTGTAGACTTTAATGTAAAATTGAATTTGCTCGCGCTTATGTACTTGACTTTTCAACTTTTTTGTCCACGATTTTCTCTTGCACCACTCAACCAATTCAACCGGATGACACGATTGACTATTTTTGTTTTAGCGTGAAATTTACTCGCTTGCTCAACATTGTTAGGTCAGGCGCGGAGCACCTCAATCAAACAGATTGAGTTCAAGAAAATTCAATTTATATTGATTTTATTCCGAAGATTCTCCTATTTTTTCTTCTCTTATTATTTCTCTTTCGAAAAATTATACTATATAAACATCTGCATAATCTGTTCAGTATACTTGTGTCTCCAATTATGGCATAATCGGGAAAATTTGGATAATCAGTTGAAGAACTTGTTCGTCAATTTGCCGTCACTTCGAGTTTTTGAATTTATCGGCGAAATTCGGAAGCTAAAAACACTTTGTAGCATGTGCTTGCAGATACGATCGTGCTGCTGCAGTAGTTATCTCGAATTTATATGTATTATAATACATACTGACAATCATTAATTATTACCTCCATTTCAGAGGTTCATTCTGTCAACATGCAACTTCAGGAGGTTCTACATGACGATATAGATAAAGAACAATGGATGAAAAGTATAAAATGTTTAATGGTGTGTTTTAAGCATGACTTTGAAAAGATGGGCGTTAAATTTGCAATAGATTTTTACTGCATGTAATGAAAAAGCCTGTATTGCGAAGCAAGTGTAAAGACGACGATTTTATTTGTTTGAACATTACTTTTAACAAATATTAAAAAAGTAAATGCTTAAAAAATTTATATAATATAAATGCAAAGTAAACATTGCTATTATAGCAATTCATTCACATTTTTATATTATAAATAAATTACTCTATAAATTTTTTAAATATATTACTATGATTCTGTTGATTCTTGTTGTTCAAACTTAGGATACTTTGCCTCAACTTCTGCCCATGTAATTTTTCCATTAGCCAAATCCCTTACTACATTTGGAAGTTCATCCAACTGCAATTAAAACAATAGTTTAATATTATTCAGTTTTTGTTTCTACATTTAAGATTCTGTGATATTTACTCACATTTATTCTGACTTGGCCCATACTGTCACGTTCACGAAGTGTAGCACTATGAGGCATTTTCAGTGTATCAAAATCTATAGTTATACCAAATGGTATTGCAATTTCGTCCGTTCGGGCATATCTGCGTCCAATGCTGCCAGAAGAATCATCTACCTTATGCGAAATATCTACTTTCGTGAGATTCTGAGCTGTAATATTTAAATAGATGTTTAGATTTTGTATCTCCCATATATGTTTATAGAAAACAATATACCTACATAATTGTTTTACATATGGCATAAATTCCTCATTACTACTAAGTGGTAATACTGAACACTTCAGAGGAGCCACAACTGGTGGTAAACTAAGATAAGTTCGTTTTTCATCTCCTTCCCTTGTTCTAAAGTTATGCTCAAAAATAGCATACATAATTCGACCAATACCAAAAGATGGTTCAATTACAGATGGAATGATCTCTTCTACATGTACAGTTTTTTTATATCGCTTTACTTGAATCATATCTTTTGTAATTTTTACTTCTGTATCATTAGAAAGTTTTAAATTATATTCTCCATTTTCGTTAAGTTCAGTTTCCATAATATTAATACTATTCTCGTTTAATTCTGATAATGCATCTTGAACTAATTTACTATCTTTTTTGAACGTTTTTCCAATCAGAACTTTATTTGGTACTATTTCACATACATCAACATTTTTTGGTGCTGACAATTTTTTCTCTGCTACTAATTTTACACCAGTTGCTTTTGTATGTTGAGTAAGATCGTAGGCGGAGCGGTCTGCACAACCAACGCACTCGATCCAGCCATAAGAAGTTAAACACTCTGCATCCCAACAGTCACATGCATAATGAGCCATTTCATTTCCCATATGTTGACGGAAACGTAATTTCTTTTTATCAATTCCAACTTTAACTAGAAACTGATAGATCCTACCCATAAAATATCCTAAAGTTTCATTAGCTATAAGTTTTGTTAAGACTGCATCGCCTAAAGTTATATGTTGTGCACTTTTTCCATCCATTTGATTGCAAGCAGAATACAAAAGCACGCTTAAATCTCGAACTGTTTCAAATTTGGGATGACTTTTGTCACTAGGATCACAAAAATGTTCTATCTCTGCCATTGTGAATTCTCTCACTCTTATTAGACCAGATCTTGGGGATATTTCATTTCGAAATGCATTTCCAATCTGTGCTGCAGCAAATGGCAACTTTTCTTGATTAAATGCAAGTAATCTCTTGAAATTTACAAAAATGCCTTGAGCAGTTTCTGGCCTTAAAAATCCTTTTACAAGACCAGAGGGCCCAATTTGAGTTGCAAACATCAAGTTAAACTCTATTGGCTCTGTTAGCTCATTTCCAGAAAGTGGAGATTTTATTTTAAATTTAGATATGATCGCAGCCATTTCATCTTTAGTCATACCATCTAACTTAATAATAATATCTCTACATTCTGCACGTGTGTTTTCATCAGTTTTTTTATCGCTAATAACTTTTTCTAAATGTGATTTAATTAAATGATCTAGTCTAAAACATTCTCCAGTTTTCGTATCTTTAACCATTAAATCTGCAAATCTTTCAACATGTCCAGATGCTTTAAGTACAGGTTCTGGCGTTAACATAGAACAATCAACTTCTAACATTTGTTCTTCCAATACAAAGAAATTTCTCCAAACGTTTAATAAATTCGTTTTTAATGCACAACCCATTGGGCCAAAATCAAATTGGCCAGTAATTCCGCCATAAATTGCAAAAGATTGATCATAGAAAAATCTACGCTTTAAGAGATCTTCCATTCTCGCTTTATCAAATACTGTTGTTTCTGAAAGAGATAACTCCTTGTCTTCCAACAACTTCTTACGAAGTTTAAGTTCTGCAACTGCTTTCTTAATATCCAATTCTGGAGCTCCATCTGACTTGAGCTTACGTACATAGTCACCCTATAAATATAAAATATAAGCAATATTAACAATATCATAGTCATATGAATGTTAAACAAAAGAACATAATTGTCACACTGCAAAAGTGTTAAAAAATTAAATTTCACATAATTCAACATTCATAACTATGACAACAGAAATCAATTGTTATTACAGAAACATGTTCCAATATGTTATGCATATTAACTATATTTAATAACAAATTACTAACAACCATATGGTACCTACTTGTGCTTTAACACTGTCCCGAAGAGGAGACAAGATCTCTTCAATCTTTGGATCAGACATATCCGGGAAAATTTGTATTTTCACTTTTCGATTTTTCTTGTTCGTACCCCACTTACTAAAATCAGTTAACCTAGCGGTGACAGAGAATCCTCGAAAAGATTGTTTATTAATTAAAATATTGTTGCATGCACTTGGTGTAGATTTTCTACAAAGAAAGTACAAGTTACGCAAAATGTACTGCATTCGGGGTGATTTTTACTTTCTCGTTCAAGAACGAATTATCGGTATTTCTTGTTTGGGACTACAGGTTCTGATTTCTCATAATACGATACTGTTGGCGGCATCATGGATGAAGTTTAAAATAGTTTCATAGCACTACGTATCAATTATTATTTTATATAATTTCAGAAAAATTTTTTAAATATGAAATATATATTTATACATACTTCGTGACATTGTTTCTGTACTATTATAATATAAAAACGGCGATATTATAAATAAAAAACGTTTATTATCTATAACGATATTTTTATATTTTTTCATAAAGAATATATTTCAAAACAAATAACATTATATGAATACAACTAAAAAAATATGTAATGAAAAAATAAAAGTACACAATGTGTCGCACATACGCACATATAAGTTTATTCTTTTTTTTTTTTTTTTTAAATAAGTGAAATATTACTAAACTAACTTCTTTGTTATAAAAAAAAACTATTTCTCTTAATTTCAAATCATTTTATTTCCTTTGTACACCATAGCACGGTTTATGGAAAAATTACAATTACGAAAACATTATATATAGAAAAAAATACGAGAAATTTTCTCCTAAGAATTTATATTAATTATAACTTTTCAATAAACCCAGCTTCGTGTGATATTAAATCACATAATATGCTTAGAGAAGAAAGTATAATCAAGAATGTTTTTTTTCTTTGCGCTACCACAAGGATGTTGAAATTTTTAAAGGTAGACTCGTTTCTTAATTACATTATCATTTTGACATGTAAATAATAGGTTTTTTATTCTACGCATCTACATGCACCATACGTTATTTCCAAGTTAGATGGTTGGTCAGATGTAAGGGTAAACGTTGTTATACAAACAATCATGTATATATACATATATATGCTTCAATTTCTCTGCATAACAATACTACAATCAAAAACAATCTTGATCCGTGTAAACAATTTATTTTACATAAGAGCAATACTCTGACATCAAAAAAGCGATAGTAATGGATAATGTATAATAATAAATAAAGTATGAAATGTAAATAATGGGTATTTACAAGTATGTAAATGGCAAAAAAGCTATAACAGAGACAAAATAACTGTTTTATCTTTCGTAAATATAATCTCGTATGTATTTTGCCAATAGATTCTGTCGCCTGTTTGCAAAATTACATCTTACGATAATGTCGCGTCACGTAATACCTGTACACTTAGAACCTAGAAAACGTGCAACCGTAACACGTACCAACATGTAAGATGCTTGTATTTCTCGCAAGTAGCAAACACGTGACAGATTCACTGAGAAACACATACTAATAGTATCCAGCATGAGTGCTTACTCTCTACAATAATTCACCTATAATATTTAAAGGGAGCACCATGATAAACACACATGCGGCTCTATGTCCCACTTGGAAAATTGATTCAAGATCTCGTGTGCATACTCCCAATTAACTTATGTTAACATAAATGCACAATTCCAATCGAGCACACTCTAACAACCTCAATTGTCACATCTTACTTCTATCAGTTTTATATAGGATCAAAGAGTAAAACTTTGAGCCTAAATAAAAATATACAAGCAAAAATGTTACACGAGATTATGATAAAATATCACAGTTCCGAGTTTGAGAAGTCGCTTTTGAAGATCATGGTTCTCCCTGTCGTTCTTTTATTCATATTCCAAGACAGTCATAAACTGTTAAGACATCCTAGTTAACAACAATCCTACACTCTACGATGAGATTATCTATTTCAGAAATTGTAACGTTTAATAATAATACGTAGTCATATACAACTTGCTAAGGATGCTGTAAACTGTATACTGGCTGCTAAATGTTTCAAGTGAATACTGTACGTATAATGTATGTAAAAAGTCAGAAGTGTTACATAGATTCAGAGCATATTATATAAATGAAGCCTAATTTTACTGTTCGAAGATTAATTGATTGAGTTTATGGAGACTGAAATAACGATGCGATGTATACAATTTATTTTTATGGAAGAGTGACGAATTCATACATGATAACATGTAACTAAAAAATGCTATAGAAAGTAGATAGTACCATAATAAAAATATTAAAAGTATTAAATTACTTTGAACATTTAACATCCAAAATATTAATGATTTCTTAAATACTTTAAATAATATTATTTTCTTGTAAAATCTCCATCACTCTTCTTACATTAACATAGAAACAAAAGTAAGTTGTAAAATGATATATATATATAAATATATATGTATATTGCTATTTCAAATGTATATGAAATTGAAGATGGAATGCTGATATATAAAATTTTATAAACAATACCATTACCCTTCTCTTATATTATATTCTTCTGAGTATTGCGCTTAATCGAAATGATATCCACCTTTTTTTTCTTCCGGAATATAAAAATCTGATCAATGTAGCATTCGATAGCGTTTATACATAAAGCTAAGTGAATAGAGTACAGCATTCCTTTCTTCTTTATGTTACTTGTGTAAAAGGTACAAATTTATTTCTCATTTTATACTCCTAGTTTATACTCATGAATCAATTTTTAATTGATTGCAGTTAAAGAAAAAAGATTCGAAATAATAAATACTTTATATGTATGTGTATACACATATATATTAATATTTTCAAATAATATAATTAATTAAATACGCATCAAATATACATTATAAATTTATAAAATTGAAATGAAATATAATAAAAATTGCTACTTTTAGAACAGAAAAATGGAATATTAAACTGAGAAATTATCTGTACACTTATAAACATTGATATATTTTTTAGTCGAATAGACGCATCGTAAAACGGTATGACAGTCAGGGCTAAATATTTTGAACATTTCAACAAATTGCACAGTTCAAAGTTAAGTGAGATTATCTCCTCTCCTTCGACATAAACTCGGTACTTTGCGATCAAAGTACCTGCGAAAATTGATTATCTTAATATAATACTTGTGACTAAATATTTACATCAATGCGTTTTACAGCTTCAGTCTATTAAGCTTCTGAATCGCGACAGCCTTCAAACTTTCGCAATATGCGACGTTTTATGAAATTACTGTTAAACTAATCAAGTATGGTAATGCGACTTAAATTTTACTACTGAGCAGGTGGTTGTGGCTCGCTGGGCATATTAGGATTTGGATATGGCGATAAAAATGAATAATTCGGATATGGTGGTGGTGGATGTGGGAATGGAGGATAATAATTAGGTGGGTGTGAAGAAGGAGGTGCATAACCTCTATGTATATAAGGATCTGTTGGCGGAGGAGGACCATGAAATGCCGTGTACATGCGAGCATATTCCGTGTTATAACTTGGCCCGCCGTATGTTGGGTATCCAGGAGCACCTGCATCACAAACTTAATTTCAACATATTTTTTAAAATAAATAATTTGTGAATGCCTATGTATTCAAAATAGGTGTATGATCATTCTCGGTGTATTAATAAATATTATATAAGAAAATTTGAACTTACCACCCGGTGGATAAGCTGCTGAAGATCCAGGTGTAGGAGGATAATGTTGTGAATATGGATCATACGGTCCTGGAGGATATGGTCCAGGATAACGACTACTCGTCGGATGACTAAACGCAGTGGGTATATGCGTGTCATCCCTACTAGAAGCACTTGCAACTGTTGTGGTTACCATCGTCTCTGTGCTTTTCGTTTCTGTTGTGTTCGCTAATGTTTTGGCAGTAGTATTAGGTACTTGTGAATATGCAGGAGGCACATTCATCATTGTCCTTTCTTCTATAGGCTTTCCTAAGTCTGGCTGTGGTTTAGCAGTGTCCATTGGTAGTCTTGAGTTTGTTGCATGAGGTGGAACACCGGGGAAGTATGTTCCGTAAGGAGTAGACAACGATCGTGATCGGGGATCACTATAATCATAATACCGAGGATATTGGGCATAAGGGTAGCCTTGCGGCATGTTCGGAGGTTCACTTTGCATCGAAGTTTCACGCATACTTGGTTCTACCGTTTTTGGAGATGTGATAGTGTTGGTTCCAGTACATACAGATGGGGCGGAAGAACCAGCAGTTGAATCTGTTATACCTTTAGAAACTTCCGTGCCTCGTAACGTAGGCGTTGGTGGCACTTGCATAGTTGACGGTGAAGATTGTTGTGATAACAGGGATGGTAATGGAGTAGATGGTGTTGATTGTGTTAAGACTTGTGGAGAGATTTGTGGTGGTCCTTGCGACGACAACTGAGATGGTATCTGTGTTGACATTTGTGGCTGTACTTGCGACGATATCTGTGGTGGTACTTGCTGTGATACTTGCGATGGTACTTGTGTTGTTGCTTGTGATAGCACTTGTGATGGTACTTGCGATGGTACTTGTGGTGGTCCTTGCGGTGGTACCTGTGATGATAATTGCGACTGTATCTGAGACTGTACTTGTGGTGGATCTTCAATTATAATTTCGTCGTTAGGCGTATCTCTTTTATCCGATTGAGTTTGAAAAGCATGTCCATAATTCGTTAGTGTATCAGTTGTTTTTGTGACTTCCTTTTCAATCGAAGGAGAACATTGTTTGTCGATTTTCGATGTTAATTCCGTTTCGGTTTGTTCGTGTTGCGTTTGAACTCCTTGTGCGGTTACAGAATCCGAAGTATATACTTGACTATTTTCTTCGGATGACTTTTGCAAAGAGGTGTCGGTGTCTGAATTACTTATACGGTTATGACTGGAAGGGCTGTAATCAGTGTTGGAACTAACTTCCGCGACCACGTCCTCTAATCTGACTTCTTCTACCCTTTGTTCTGTTCGAACTTGACCATCCGAAGAATTCGAATTTTCTCCCAGTGTTGAATGATCTACAGGTTCCTGTTTTACTTTCGGTAACCTTGACAATGAAACCTGATTCGTCAAATTAACTTGACTCAAATAAGGTTTGGCAGTCGCGGTAGCTACAGGTTTTGGTCTTCTTGAAACTTCTTTGTCAGCAAATGGTCTGTAATTAGGGCCACCACTTGGTTTATTGGTTGAACGAGCACTTGCTGGGTTACTCGAAGATGATTTCGGTATTATAGAAATGGCTGAATTATTTCTTAATGGAAATCCAACTTCGGGTTTGGAATTTCTCTGCACCATCGATGACACACCTATAAATATTTATTTATATGGAATTTTAAATGAAAATACAGATACGTAACTAAAGAATTAAAATTTTAATAAAATTATTTCGTTGGTAACATACCTTTTTTCGGTTCTTCCTCCCGTTTTTGCTGATTTAATTTGAGAGCCGTTCGAATAGCAATAATTTTACCAGATTCTAATTGCATATAAATACCCTTTGGACTTTTCAGTACCATTACTCGCTGGCCAGCTTTCAATACGATACTTCCTTTGTCGGGTGAATTGGTAGGAATAACGACGTCTAAAGGTAATGTCATTTCTTGTGCACTCATTCCTTGCCTTTGCCATACTTCTGCAGGTATCCACCGACTGCCCGTTACACCACGTGAACCTAAACCTTCAGCTCCACGTTGTTGCATTGGTCTAACCGAAGCTACAGGTTTAGAAGTTGTACCACTATCCCCGCCTCGAATTGCTCTAATTTGTAGTCCGCCTGCTACAATTACATAAGAACATATGAAAAATTATTGTGATTAACTAAAACATAATTATTATTCCCATTCTACTAGACTGGACAGTCAAAAGATCAATTATCCATCCTGTTCAAAAAAAGAGTCACTTATTCTGTGACAGCAATAATTACTGAATAAAAGAAAATCTTTTTGCTTTCATCTCGTTGGGACTAATTCGCAACATATACTTTATTTCCGAGCAATTTGACTGCCTAGCCCCTTGAATAAATTGAGTTTTAAAATGAATCATACCCCGTGTTGCAGTATTGCCGGGTACGTAATTATAACTAGGCCTAGAACAATTAGCAGCCATTTTCTCAAGTTCATAACCACGCCGAGCCAAGCGCTTTTCAGCTTGACTAAGCTTTTTATCCTTTCTATCAACAAGAAGACTTTCGTGATGAAATGGCTGCTTGGTAAGTAACGAAGAATGTCGTTCTAACACACGGTGCATGACTTCGTCGGTATAACTATCTTTCGTTTGGGAGAAATCTTGTACTTGGCTATCTTCTTCCCAATCCCAAGATAACGTAGTTGCCTCTTTCAACGAGAGATGAGCATCTGGATTGCACTGATCAACAACACGATCAGCCATCCCTTGCTTACTAATTTGTCTATCATATATTTTTCTTTCTAAACAATTATCGGTAACCAAACGGTAAACGAAACAAGGTTTCTGTTGTCCATATCTGTACACTCTACAAACGGCCTGTGTATCGTGACAAGGATTCCAGGAAGCATCGAACACGATAGCACGATTAGCGCCAACAAGATTAATGCCGAGTGAACCGGCACGCGTTGAAACCAGAAAAAGATGAATCTTTGGATTATTGTTAAATTCATTGATAAGCTTTTCTCTTTCTAAAGCGCTAGTACTACCGTCCAGTCTATAATAGTTTACATTTTTTATCCAAGCATCCGTTTGTCCATCCGGATGCTTCAAACTGTTTCTAGCTAAAAAATCTTCAATCAGATTTAGTGTAAATAACGACTGTGAAAATGCTAAAACACGATCCCCAAGCTTGATGGCTTCTTCCAGAATACAAAAGAAAATTGTCATTTTTGCAGATGCATCGATTAATCCTGGTACATAGCCCTTCATTAATTCTGTTGCCTGTAATTAAAAATACCATTTAATTACCTATGACTTAACATTGCTTACTTGTCTATTTGTTATACTTACCCAATCATATGGAATTCCAGGATCTTCTTTCCCTCCCGGCGAACTCTTACAATCCTTCTCTTCGTCTTTTGTTAAAATTTCGTCGTCCGATTTATCTTCTTTGTCTTTATCCAATAAATCATCTTTGTCTTTCTCATCCTCTTTTATCAGGTCAGACTGATTCAATCTTGGACTATGCAACGAACCGATATTTTGCGTGGATCTGGCTCCCGGAGTTTGACAATTTGATTCAGAACTATATCCTGAACTAGTAGATAGATTACTCTGATGTATCGGTTGACTTTGAACACCAACACTCGCTGTCATTTCTTTACTATTTTTCTCAGGTTGTCCTGAGTTCTGAACATGAACAGTAGATTGCTGAGGCTTCGAATCTTCCGAGCGTGTGTTAATATCTGAATTGTGATTGTTACTATAATCGTAAGACTGATTTTGATAATTTTGTGACGGAAAATAATTGTTCTGATAACGATTCACGTTAGGATTCACGTCCCGATAATATGGATCATTGCATTGATCAGTTTGAAACGACTGAGGATAGTTTCTCTGCCAGTAAGAATCTTCCGGACCCTTCATTTGACCAACCTGGTTCTGATGTGTATTATCCGACGAATAACTTGACAAGACAGTACTCTGCGGCTGAGTTTGATTCACTGGATAATTATTTGACGAATTAGCAGTCGAACTTCCACTCTGACGGTCGGTTGGAAATTCATGAGAAGTGTTAGCTGTTGGCGTGTAATTTTGAGGCTGCTGTTGATTATCTGTCCTAGGATACAGTTGGTCATTCTGGTTTAACGTAGAGGTTGATGTCTGTTGAGTCTGAGAATATGGAAGGCTTTGACTCTGAGATTGCGGCATTTGTCCTTGTTGAGAATTACCATATCTGTGCGTTGATGTTTGCGGTATCGATGCAGAATTTTGATGATTAGAATTATACGTATGGTTTGTACCTGACGGTGCTCCAGTTTGGTTCTGTACACTAGGTGGGTACGAAGACTGATTTTGCGGTGTCGTCGAAGACACAAGATGCGAATACCCATGAATAGCATTCTGGGTATTTGAAACTGACCCCTGTTGATCTTGAGAATATCCATGCGTTTGAGTAGGGGCAGTTGAAGTTGTTTGATTCGCGGGATACGAAGATGAATTTTGTGGAATATTCATTTGATTCTGAGCAGTTGCAGGATATCCACGCATTTGATTTTGTGGAATCGAAGATTGATTCGCAGGATTCGTTATATACGAATGAGACTGATTTTGTGATATCGGATTTGGAGACTGCTGATTAAAAGCAAGAGATGTTTGCGACGAAGAATTTGAATTTACTTGCGGTGGATAGTTATGAGATTGATTCGGTAGTGGCATATTTTGTGACTGTGAAGCAGTATATGTATGAGAAGTACTTTGCAAGGTGAGATTCTGATTCTGTTGATTAGGCGAAAATCCACGGTTTTGGGTAGACGTTGTGTTCTGCCCTGATTGATTCGGGAGATATCCAGCCGCTGGAGTTTGAGATGTTGAATTTTGGTTTTGTTGATTCGGTCCATATCCCAACGTAGAATTTTGTAGTGGTTGAGTTTCATTTCGGGAATACATTGGATTTGTTTGACCTGTCGTAGAATTATAATTTTGAGCCTGATTCGGCGTATACGAAGAGTAATCCGATAATGGTAAGTTTGCAGATTGATTTGGCAATTGAGATTGAAAAGAAGGTTGATTCTGAACTTGAGGATAATTATTAGAGCCTTGATTTAAATTTGGTGCATAGTTACGTCCATGATCTTGGTAAGCATAAGATTGACGCGGGAACATCCCAGATACTTCATAATTGTTTCCTTGATTTTGATCTGGACGAAAATCTGAATTGGAAGGAGCAGTTGGATACCGCTGAGAATGACTATTTGTAGATTGATCATTGTTTGGCATGTAATTTTGTGATTGATTAGGGTAGTTTTGCGAAGTATTGTATCCTGGAGTTTGCGCATATGCTTGAAATGACTGATTTCCATACCTTTGTGAACCTTGATTATTGTAAAATTCATTGTACTCCCCATGATTATTATCATTTCTATAATATGTAGTTTGATCATTCGATCGATAATTTTGGTAACCGTGCGAATAAGAATTTTGTGGCACTGAATTTGAATAGCCTGAATTATTCATCGACATAGGATAATTTGAATAATTGTTTTGCTTCGAATTGGCATGCGAATTATCAGATTCTGCATTGTCAGCATTCGACGACGAAGAGGCATTAGGTTGCACGCTAGCTGCAGGTTTATTTTTAATCGTTGTATTTGTTTTCTTTCCTTTTTTGGACTCTCCTTTTGGCTGGCGAGCTTTCGAGCGTTTACCTCCAGGAGTAGATTTCTCGGCAATTGTTTCTTCTAGATCCAAATCATCCTCTTCGTTCGCTTGTCTCTTGCGCAAAAAGTGATATAAAATATCAGGGTGATTCCAGATTTTGCAGCATACTGCAAATGCTTTTAATGGATTAGGTACAGCGCGTGTCTTGACTACTTGATTCATAAATGTATCATATAATTTACGCTGATGCGGTGTCATTCTAACGAGAAGAATATATTCTTCCTTGCGTGGCAAAGAAACTTGCAATACGGAATGAGATCTTCTTTGCACAAAACCTTCCAACAGAGCGTGTAAAACGTGTGCACGATATCTCATTAATCTTATGTCTTGTGGCGTTGAATCAATACATTGTCCATTTTGAATTGGCCTTTCGAACATGTTGCAGAATTCATTTTTAGTTCCCAAATAATTAGGTCTTACAAAATCAACCATACACCAGTATTCTAAAAGATTGTTTTGTAATGGATAACCAGTCAATACAATTCTGCGTTTTGTGCGCATTTGTTTTAAGGCCAAACTAATGCTAGCATGAGAATTTTTTATTCTATGACCTTCATCACATATAACTAAATCAGGTCCTGGATTAACCAGAGCTGAATGCATTTCATCTAATAGTCCTTTATTTTTGTCTTCTTCTTCGACATCGACAGTGTCTTTAAAAGGCTGCCCTCGCTTTCTTTTTGCTTTATTTGGCTTTTTTAGAGACAACTGTCTATACAATTCATACCCAATTAATAAAACACCACCTCCTATTTGCCACTCTTGGATTACTCTGGCTCTTGCTGTCATAGTTTTATGAGAATCATTCAAAATATGTAACCGAAAATGCCGTGGTCTTACGTCCATACCAATAGGAGCATCTACGCTATACGGAGTTTTCACTTTTTCAACTTCCTTTTTCTCTTCGTTCGCAACTTCCTCTTTTGTTGTGCAAGTACCTTCCTCTTTTTTAATTATTTCTTCCGGTTCTTTTTTTACATTTATTTCTGATGGATTCAAAGGAGGTACAGTATTTTTAAAGCATTCTTTTCTAGATTCTATATCTGTTTCTTGAATCGGTCTGTTTGCGTAATTAGGAAAAGTATTATTGGAATTATCATAATTTTGATACACCGACTCATGGTGACCTTCCGTTCCGTGATACAGAGTATTAGAGTTTCGCGATTCCATGCCTGGATACACAGAGGTTTGTGATCTGTTTTCTATACCAGGATACATGTTTCCAGAATTCTGATTTTCTACTCCAAATTTTGTTTCCGGTATATTTGATCTTTGGTGCATACTATGACAATTTACTTCCGATTTCATTGAATCAAAATTGGTCATTGAATTAGGATTTGTATTATATAATGCATTTTGTGGAAGATCACTTTGATAATTTTCATTCATATGTACTTGTGAATCTGGCATATTCTTATTCAGTAAATTATCTTGGACGTAACCAGGTATTACATTATGAGTTTCATATCCTTGATGAGCATAAGGATTTTCTGGTATCATATTTATCGGTTGAGATGCGTTTTCTTGTCCAAAACGATGAGCTGATTCTGTACTAATAGGCCTTGACATATTTGATATATTTGACATATTTGATACATCACTCTGATTCATATACTCATCTTTAATTTCTTGTTTAAGTTCTACACCAGATTCTGATTTAACACTAGAGCATTTAGTAGGTTTTTCTGGAGCGTTTGGATCCTCGTATGGTAACCACATATTAAATTCTGCTAGCCAGTTTTGTAATGTATTAATAGGCATAATACAGAGGACTGTTTTAGCTGTAGTGCATCGAAAAAAAATATCACAAAAACTAGCAACTTGTAAAGTTTTCCCTAGACCCATACTATGAGCAAGAATACAACCAAATCCAGAACTAGTTTTGTATCTTTCAATGCTTTCAACGATATTATCAAAAAGAAAGCGAATACCGCCAATTTGATGAGGTTTAATAATACGAGCTACCTGTGGAGCTAAAAATACATCAGGTTCAGTTTCAGGATGACCCACATTAATTAACACTCTACCATGTTCATCTGGAATGTTATATCTATCATTGGTATGCATGCCAGAATTGGATGGATCATCTTCGTTGTCTGTTTCTTCTTCTCCGCTTGGATCACTTAGAACTATACAATCATCGTCCGAACTTTCGCTAGAGCTAGATATTGTAACCACGTCTTTGCCTTTAGCTGTTTTCTGAGACTTTGGTCCAGCTGACATTTTTTTAGCAGTATGCATTTGTTTCTCACGTAAAGCCTCTTCAGCTTCTATATCTGAGATTTCAGAGTCTGAGTAATATTCAGATCTATCCATAGGTTCCTTCTTAGGAACAACAGGTGATATGCTCACAGAAGGAGTCATCATTCGGATTCTTTGTTGCAACATATTAGGACCAATAGGACGGCTTGGAACTCTAGAAATTGATGTCTGTGCCCCTTGATAAGCACCTCTACCTTTTTGCCAACGAGATCCTTCTAATGATCTTCTTTGCAGTTGACTTGTTTGCATATTAGAAGTAACTTGAGATCCAGACCCAGATCCAGAATTTACTTTAAGAAGCACGGTATTCGGTAAACGAACTGGTGGAGATGATGAAGATGATTGTGAAATTATGGTACCCGTTTGATTCTGTTTCCCTTGTAAAAGACTGATTACCCTCGTTTGTGTTTTATTATTTTGTCTATTTATTGCAATCTGTCTTTGAACTTCACGAATAATTCTTTGCTGTTCCTGTACTCTCCGAAGACGTTCCATTTCCTGTCTCTGAGCCGATAGAGTGGCTTCATCGAGTTGGGTTTCATCCATAACTTCTCTAATGTTTCTTCTCATATTTGCTAACTTTTTTTCGGCTTTTGTTTCACATTCTGAAGCAGATCCTTCTGTCCCATCATCTTTTTTCTGCTTCTTCTTAGCCGAATCAGAATGTTCTGAATCAGCATGCCTTTTATTACTTTCATTACATTCTTCCTCCATAGAATGACTTTCGTGCTTCTCATTTTCATGTCCTATACTACCTTCGTCATCCGTGTCCTTGGAAATTGGTTTTCCAAGCAAATCTGCTTCAGAAACTTCTTGACCCTCTATTGGAGCTCCTTTTGTTACAGTTAAAAATTGTTTTAATTATATACTATCATGTTATTCTTACAAAAAAAATATTATACAAACCTTCCAATGGTAAAGTATCCAAAATATTAACCGGTTCATCATCATCCTCTTCAGGCTGAGAATGATGCTGATGTTCTGATTCCACTCGAACCCCAATTTGTGAATCAATTGTTTCATCCAAATCCATATCGTCTCCAGAACCTTCAGACCGTATTTCTTCTATTTCTTCTGATTGTAATGTATCATTTTTCTTTTCGTGCTCTCCATCGGATGTCTCACCACTAGATTCCTCTGAACTTTCATCATTTCCTGTGTGAGGTTCTACATTGTTCATACTTGTGTTTGTTGAAGTTTCAGTTGACATCATTGTTTCATTAGGCTTAGAGCCTGAACGAGGAGTCACACGTTCTATAGTGACATCCCCAATACGTGTTAAAAAACTGTCCAAACTATTTGACATGATGTGCAAAGTTCATTAAGTCACAGTGCGTTTTATTGAAACTTTGTATGAAATCATGGAATGTCTTAACACTTTTTTTCATAACACTAATAATTAAATTACTTTATGTATCACCTATATATTTATCCTTAATTTTATATTTTTTAATGCCTGCAATAAGAAATGTATTCCTTTATAAGCTCAGTTTTAAAAAGTTATTAAAAACTTTTGCTTTAATAAATATTTGACAAAAAATAAAGAACTATAAATGAATCTGCAAATAACAAAAGTTAAACATCACATCTAAAAATATAAAATGAACAATACAGAATAAAAATATTGCACTTTGTGTGTACATATAATACGAATCAAATTTAATAGTTTATTGAATTTTTAGTATTAAAATATAACACAATTTTAAATGGATTTACTGCACACCCATGGAATACATTGCTGTATCGCATATAATTATTTAAAACAATTTAGTCATGCAACAATAAAATTCATACAAAAGTAATATCTATAAAATAAAATTTACTTTGTTACGTACAAAGTAAATTGAATAAACATTCAATATCATTAAAATCAAACTATCTACATATAAAAATAGAAATGAATTATTGTAAACTTATATTTAGGAATGTTTACATAGAAAACTGCAAGCGTTGACATATTATTAGAGCATATTAAAAAGTAGTTTTAAACAATACAGAAATTATAAATTACTCTGAGACACTTGTAATTAAACACACTTGTTGAGAGATCAGCTTAGTCACATTCTTAAACTGATGAGTAAATTCTAACGACGACGACTTTGGACCATACTGTTTAATGGAAGGGTTATAGCAAAGATAGAACTTCGCTCGTGACAACGTAAGTGGCGAAGTTGTGACAAAATATTCATAACGTCCCAAATTGTATTCGGAACAGGAGCTGTCAAACGAGGAGAATAAAAGCAACCCAGAATGTTTGTTTTTGGACGAACCGATCCGGCTTGACGATTAACACTAGGAAGTCGCGTCGTTTTGTAACCGGCGTCAATTGAAAACTTGCACAAGTTTGATTTTATTTATGATCCGCGTTCACGACCGCTTAATTAGCTGTTAATTGTAGATTAAAAATAATGACACACACATACACACGTCCGATGGACGCCATAGCGTCGTTCGCCGCTGAACGAACACGGTTCTCCGCAATGTCCGAAGATCAGCGAACAAGCCTTGTCACTCGGGTTAACGTACGCGTCATTTCCATCTCGACACCCGATTTTCTTTTCACCTAAAATGCATGTTGGAGTTACGAGGGCTCACTGGATCACCGATACTTCACTCAAGTTCGCACGCGTTGCTCTCAAGCTTTCCGCGGCATTTTTTTTCACACGCTTTTTCTAACAAGTATATTCCACTCGGTGGAACGCCATCTTAGCTGCGCTATAAAATACATCCGCTGACAAGTGTGAGTGCGAGGGAACGACATCGCGACTTTGTTTTACGTTTTCTTTTTTATACCTTTGATTACTAATTTCAATCGATAGTTTTTTTTTTCAATACAAACAATTGAATTCGATTTTTAAATTCAGCCACAAAAATTAGAATATTATATCAAATAATTTATGCGATTATGTACATATTTAAGTTCATTATTCAAAAATTTTGTTTATTAGAAATACATATAATTATTTAATATTATAAACAAGTTATATATATTCAAATTGAAGATAAACATTTTAAGTAAGAATTACGCTTGTGTAGAAAATTATACTACCAATTATTTTATTCATTTTGACATTGTATTACAATAACACTTTAGTCAAAACCTACAATATAAAACATTACATGTTTTCCTTTTTCATATATATAATTAATTTTCATTATTATTATCTTTATAGATACATGTTTACATGCGTAATTAACAAGTATAATAGATAAGATATATATAAATATAATTATATGTATATCATGACTCTACTTTAAGTAGTACATAATGTAATATAATAAAAAGTATATTAAATTCCATTATTCTAGACTAGAGAATTGTGTATATGTATTGTGTATACATAAGTGCCTTTTCATTAATAAAATAGATAGTGTGAACTAACTATTTATGCATTGCACATAATTTGATATTAACTCTTATTGTACAATGGTGACGACTTAGCAAAGGAAACAAAGTTTGTTAGCACTGAATTAATCAAGTGCAGCAATAATAAACTTCAATTTGCATTTTCACATGCATCGATCCAATCATTATACACATCCAAAGGTTCAGAAAGTAAATTAATTGTAGTTTGAAAGTCCTCTAAACAGACTCTACAAGTAATTCTTGCTGTATTTCTTAATTTATCCCTGTAAATAAAAATGAAAGGTAATTAAATACAGAATATAAATATTTTGAAAATAGGCGGCAAATTTGTTGTACCTACATCTTAACCTCACATGATTTTTCATGATTACAAAATGGACAATTAAATTGTGTATCTAATGGTTGAATAGCTTTCTTTTTGCTTGGAGGTTTTCGCTTACTCTTTCTTCGGCCCATTACGTTTTAGGTATATCAAATTATACGTGTTTTTGCGAAAAAATGTTTTTGATAAAAACGTATTCCAAGCTTTGTATAGTACTATTTATGTTGCAAACTGTTGCACTCAAACTGAATATAGCTTATATACGACTGGTAAAAAAAAATTACTAGGATTACCTACATGCATTATATCTATTACAAAATTCGTTGCGATTTATTGAATATTTATTGGGGTTACGTATAAGTTACCCTATAAAAAGTAATTTATGTAACTTCTGCATTAAAATATTTAGTCAGAACTTCAGCGTTAGTGAAGTATGTACCACTTATAAAGTACAGAGTATATGTAAAATGTGCTTCATATAACTGTGGCTATGTCAGACACGTGTAGATGATTATATTTATGTAAATGTATATTTATAATATATATATATAGCTACTGTTATGATATCAGAAAGCATATTTATACGAATAAATTTGTTATTAACGTAATGTCATGAGTGATTTAAGTGTGTATCCTTTCAAAAAGAAAATAATTCTAAATTCTATTTCAATTTTGATTAAAAATTATGCAAACATCCTTAATTGTAAACAGAAATTTATCCATACCTTTCCCATCCGAAAGAGAAGCAGAAATTGCTTATCAAGTACTCAGAGTCGATCAAGAGCCATCAAGAGGTGGTTGCACAAAGAATTTAGTATTAAAAGAGAATATTTTAGAAGTGTAAGTTTGTATACATTTTTGTAATCTTCTGTGTTTAGTTATATATATTAGTTTGTTTTAGTAATCTTTATATTTTTATAGATTAATATCTGGAACTGAAGCTCGTAAGGTGCGAGTGGCACTAACAGCATTTTTTGACAGTATAATTTTAGTAACAGAAACTATGCAGCAATTTGGACCACCAGAGCCAAGTTATAATTATTATTAAGTAAATTGTTTTCTTTGTTATTTTTCAAAATATTTTTAAATATTGTACAGAATGGAACATACTCCAGCTCCATATGGACCAAGATCTGTCTATGGATATGCTTTATATATAGGCTCTAATATGCTTCTCCTTTTATTTCTGGTATGGGCTATAATACCTGACCAAATTTTGCATAACTTAGGTTTAACATATTGGCCATCCAAATATTGGGCTGTAGCAATTCCAGTTTGGGCTTTAACTGCTCTTGCTACTTTTGCATTTATTATTTACCCAGCTATCAATTTATCAATGACTCCAGATATAGATGACATTAGAACTATCACGGATCAACATTCACGCAGTAAAACAGAAGCTACTCCAAATGGTATACCTCCTGTTTATGATATTCCTATAACAGAAGTTTGCAGAAAGTTGTATCTACCAAAGAAAAAAATAACGAGTCTTACCAAAAATTTAAATTGAAACTGTAATTAAATAACGTGATAATTAAATTTATTTGTTATAATGTAATACAATTGTAACAAATATATTTTTGATACATGAATATATATTTATAAAAATAAGGTCTATATATTTTTATATATATTTATAAAAATTCAGAGACTTATTAATTTAGTAATATTTTCGGGGTACTATACAGTCATGAATTAATTATTTCATATATTGCGCAATCAGATAACGAAATCTTATATAGTTCGAGGGGACGGGAAGAAATGTATAGTTCTTAAACGTGTTTTCTCATGATGAGCCACATAATGGCAGAATCAATTCTGAAAGATGAACAGCAGGAAAAATTTACTGAAAATATACACGAACACGATAATGTTTCAAATTATTTCCGACTGAAAAATACCGGAGACGAAATCTGTAATGTAAAAAAAAAGCTAAAAGCTTTAATTGATACAAATACTACTTTTTGCAGTTTTGAATTATTATCTGTAAATAATGATGAATTTTACCAGAGGTTCGTATGTTATATACTGTATAACATGTAATATATTCGTATTTCTTTTTTCAAATCAAAATTTCGGCTATTAGATTTATCGCAGAGATGAGTAAATATCAACCTCTCTTTTACGCATTAACATCGCATACGAAAGACAAAGGACATTATCAATCCCCAAAGTTGAATAATATATTTTCAAATAATATACTTATCCATCTTATTGCTAACGATTTGACTCGCACAGATGTAACGATTATTCTAAAGGAAGCTTTAAAATGTGGCATAACCAATGTTTTTGCGTTACGAGGAGGTAATGAAATATGTATTTTTGAAGAACTATGTACAACTTTCATGTTCCCTTTATTGATTAGATTAATCGAGCTCAAAAACATATATTTCAGACTCTATAACTGTAAATGGTGATTTTCCGCATGCCATTGACTTGGTGCGGTTTATAAAAAGTCAGTTTGATGATACATTTTGTATATGTGTTGCTGGTTATCCAGATATGCATCCAGAATCTCCATCTAAAGAATTGGATTTATTTTATTTGAAAGAAAAAGTAGTTATTTAAATTAAATTTTACTATCGGTTTGCGTATTTTTTATTATACCTATAGATATATATGCACGCGTATATACATGTATAGTATGTTAAAGTTGGTTTTATTCAAAGGTTAATGCGGGTGCTGATTTTATAATAACTCAAATTTGCTTCGAAGCAAATGTTTTTATTAAGTTTGCCAATGATTGTAAAGAATTTGGGATCCATGTCCCGATTATTCCTGGGATTTTTCCGATCCATAACTATTCGTGCCTTGAAAAAATAGCAAAAGTTTGTAACGTTAAAATACCGAAGAGTATTTTAAATTGTTTACAACCCATTAAAGATGACGACGACAAAGTACGTAATTACGGAATTGAATTATCAACGAACATTATTAAAGACATTATCGCAAGTGGGACTACGTATGGCTTTCATTTATTCACATTTAACAGGTAATAACAAAAAACCATGATACACAATGCATGTATTTAATGAAAAATATGTTTATTAATTATAGAATATCATTGTCATCGGAAATATGCAAGAGACTGAATATTGCTCACCAAGTATTTTAAGGTAGAGAAGGTTTAAACAACAATGAATAAATAAAATTTTCATAAAAAATGTTAAGATACACTCAAATCCTATCATATTACGCGCCAAAATTAGCGCCGATTACCAACTGTTAAAATTCCCTATATCACACGTTGCTAAAGCGATGAAACGCCTAATTCACGATATAAAGCGATAAAAAATAATTGAAAACTCTCGATGCATTTTAAATGTTATTGTGATCGCCATGGCTGAATGTTGTTTGTTTAATTTCGTAATGTATTTAATAAAATCATTTTTATGGTTTTACGTAAACATAATATGATAGATCTGTGATTACGGATAATCCTTCGAGGATACCTGCAGTTGTGCGCATGCGTTTTAAAAATTCGTGACGAACGAAAAGAGGAGTTAGTTGAGCTGGGCGCCAGAGCTCCGCGTGGTCAGTTGGATAGTCGGCGTGACGGTAACAAGAAAGAGGAAGGGTCCATAAGGCAGGATATAAAGAACAATGGCACTCTTCCGTTTCAGCCCAAAACGTTGTTTGGAAGTTCAGGTGCGTGGCAAACAAAATTTACCAAAAATTCATCAACTTTACTATACAATATAATATTTGAATAATTCTTAAACAAGTACACGTTGTTCCGGTGCGAAATTCGAACGGCAAGCAGGTGTTTAACACGTATCAGTAATTCTCGCGAGTACAAGGAAATATTTTAATTAAATATTTACTGGAGGACAATTGTATACGTTTTATCGTCTATCTGTTTCGGGGCGCCAGAAGTTTGCGCATTCGTCAAGAGTAAAGACGCTGTGGCTCTAGATACGAAGTAGGCGTTCTATCGACCGATAGCCTAGTAACTTATTTTATAACACGATCAAGTTTGTCGATATACAAATTCGAAAGATCCAAACAAATCACGCGTATCAATGGGGTTTGGGAACCATACACAGTCGTATTTGCCATTCAAAAGAATGAAATATTGCTCTTGAAAATTTCCAGAAATCGAAGGTTCTCTGATGTATAGAGTGCAAGCCTAGAAACACCTTTGCGAAGCTCTAACAATGCATATTATTTCGGAGCAGCACTACTAATACGAGAATATATTAAATTAATCTATAAAGCATAATATCGATATAAAATATGTGCACAAGTGATTCCATGAGTATACGTTCCAGTTTTCTGTATTTACCCCAAAAATATCGGGTTGATAAAAGATGTACCTGACCGTTAGAACTTAGCATTAATTTAGCCAACCTTATTAGCAGTTACGTAATAAATTTTTAGAACATAATTATCTATTGCAAATAAAAGATTAAACAGCAAGAATTATTCAACCGATACGATAAATTGTTTAATAACACGTAGGAAATAAAAATTTTTTAGATATTATCTTTTTCTTAGTGCTGTTATCTTTAGCGTTTATTGACACAAGTATCATACACACATGAAAATAAGAGATATTTATACCCTAAAATAATTTCTACATTGCATAAATGAGATGTATGAATGAACACCGAGTATAAAATCATATCTACTTTTAGACTAACTTGATCGAAACATACTCATTCTTGTGACTGTGTAAAGAGATGGAATGTGAGCTGCTATTATTCTTCATTGATGCTAAAAGTGAAAAGTCGAAAATTCGTTAAACGTTTCGTAACGTCCAAAAATTCTAAAATTCCAGCATCATTTCCAAAATTCAAAAATCGTTTTTGCAAAGTTCCAAAATTCCAAAGTCCCAAGAAATTCCGAAAATCAGCATGCACCATTTTGATAATCTTTGCTCTATAAATTTCTAAAGTACAATTCTCATACGATATAAGAACATGGTTGACGGTAGTTCGATCATGGATCCTTTGAACCGTATGACATTGTGTCATAAATTATAAGACCGTGAACACAAGCTTGTAGGTCACGCGCGTAAGTTGTGTATGTGAAATAGTTGTGAATCTCCTTGGTCGACACACATGCTCATTGAAGAGTTCGCGGCACCAAAATTTCGCAAGGTGCAATAATTTTAGAACGAATTCGAGGTCAAAATTTGTTCGGTCCGCTTGATCTACATTGGTCGTGACCTATTCCTTAACACCTGCTCGGAAATCGAACTTCGACCCGGTCGTATGACTTTCACTCGATCTATTGTATCCTAATCAATTCCTGTGTTTTATATGCGTATGCTCGATCGTAACTCCTCTTATCTGTTCCGTATGTCTATTTGAATTTTCCGTATGTTTAAACTGCTTGAAGCAGGGGAATGTTAATGGGATCTTTATGCATATTGTTTTGCGAAAAACAATAGATATTTCATGCATTTTGAAATAACACTTTTTTCATTGGTTATATCAATTATATCAAATAATCTTTGTATATGTAATTTGATCTATTAGACTCGATTTTTTTATATTTTATAAATTTTTTAGATATCAAGGTGATTGGTCAAGTTTTTGCAAGTTCACTTTATTTAATACTGCATTGTATTTGCCAAAAATATAAGTCTATAATAACTAATCAAATTTCAAAGTCAGACAAAGTATCATGTGTACTTATATTACTTAGAGTAAGAACAAAAAAAATCGAACGTTTTAGGTATCGATAACTTTTATATATTAAATTAAGAAATAAAGCTAAATTATAGTTTGAACTATAACGTCAATTTTGTAACAATTTATAACAAGGTCTAACATGTTCGTTGCCACTAGTTTGATGTCACGTGCGCGATCGTCAGCTCTTAAATATTGCGGCACGCAGGGTTGCCAACTTAGGATTGTGATATAAGGGCCAAATGATACTAAATAAAATATTAAAATAAAGCCGAATGTATTTCACTTTATTTCTGCACTGTATTTAAAGAAATGACGAATATTGACTGTTAGGAAATACGTCATGGAATTTTTCCTAAAGGAAAAAGTGGTCCTTGCACGTTCGAGGAAAAGAACCGTATCTTGATTTTTCCGAAAGGAAAGGAAGTTACGACTGATATTTGATGTATAACAATAAATTGAAAATCCGTTTAAAGCAATATAAATCTAATTATAGAAAATTTTCAATTTAGAAAGTTTCCTAGAGTTAATATTTTAGATTTAATAATTGTAAGATGTGCAAAGTCTACTGTATATCTACTATAACTTTGGCAGATTTGGGAACTTATCGTCTAACTTATAGATGCCTCACCGATTACCTAATATCATTCATATGTATACGCGTGACCTTCGGATCGCATAACGTGTTACCTCAGGACGCTCCTCTTTACTTTTCCTGTATATACAATGACACCGTTTATTATTAACATTTGCTTAATTTGAATCAAGCTAATATATTTTCACGTAGCCAAAATTTTTATTTCCGGTTTGTTCATAGAATCTATTGTTAGACTCTTTAGATATAAATAGTACGAACAATCGATGAGAATGAAATTCCATTTTACATTTTCGTTATAAATAAATGACATTTGATTCAGTTTACGATTACTACACTCGTGGCTATGCTATTATTACCGCTTTGACGGTTGATGTCAGGTTTTTTGTCAATGTGACATTTTTTGCGTTAGCATTCGCTACTTCGCTTTCATTTGCTATGTTACGTACTAATTATATATTTGAAAATTCGTCATTTTCGCGGGACCTCGTGCGTGTCGCTATCCAATTTCTAAAATCGAAAACTTTTAAATTTAATAATTTATATATTTTCAAATTTCTGTGTTACGTAACCTTTGCTTCAGTATTGTTATTTCTTTTTGAAAAATGATTCCGTGGCTAAAGAAATCGAAAAAATTTATGAAGTTTGTTAAAAAATTTTATGAAGTTTGCTTTCAAACGAGATTCATTATTTTAGGATAGGTGTTGAAGCTTTCGGATACAGAAACGTTGAGGAAACGTTTCGCTGGCAATAAGACGATTGTGTTTCAGAATTAATAAAGACTAGATCATCGCGTGACACCCTCTTTGGTCATTTTAGCGCCATTTGACGATTATACGGCGCGAAATCAATTAGATAATTGTAGTTCGCGGGTGTCTTCTATCTGGTAATGCCCTTCAAATGCTGGCTGGTTATGTAATCAAAGATAACGAGTGCTACGAAGCTTTATGCATAATATGCTGAACAATTAATTAAACAAACCGATCTAATCCGATCGTCATTAAACTTCACGCTCATATTCACACACAGGGAATTTACAAGACTTACAAGAATACATTTTTGATCAACAAAATTTTGTTTCCTATCAAATCAGATTTTATCATTTGATAAAATATTCCATGCGTTGAACATTTAAGCGATCTTAATCAATCATATCAATTTTAAACAGAATTGTTTAACTTTATCGAATTTAAGTTAACTTTATGAATCTGAATTAATTATTACAATTTAATTTAAATTGAATACATGGTCAAAATACTGTTACGAAGAAGTATTTTTTTATTGAACTTCCTGACTCAGTAAAAATTGAAAATTATTTTCATAAGTACAAAATGACTGTGCACTCTATAAGTGTACGCTCGCTATATGGCTTCTATTTAATGGTCCGTTAGATGATTTCTGTACAACACTACTTGCATGTGTATTTGAAGAAACACAGAGTACATTAAATGGAAATACACACATATGTATGCATATATATATATGCACACACGCACACACATGTACTATCGTATTATTTGCAAAATGATTGATAGGTGATTGATACCTACGCGTGTCTAGACGGATTAAGATAAAGACTAGAATAAGTCTTTGTCAAAATATCAATGAGAAATGAAATAGTAATCGCGATAACGTAGTAATGAGTAACACGATTGACCTAATGCACACGAATAATGTAGAGCCGTTGACGCGTGTACCCAAAGTTCAATGATAAAATAGTGGCACGATAGAGGAACGCGTTGACGTTCGTTTAATAACTACTTACACGTTGTGGGAACTTTTTGCGATAACGTGGATCGTTTCGCGACAAGAATTCGCGCGTTTCGCTGAATTTCGACTTCTGAAATTCTTACGATAATGAACCTTTTTGTTTTCGTTAACAATGAGTACATTTAAATTGACGTGCACGCATAATCGCGATGAATTTCGTTATGTGTGCAATTCTTTTCTCTGTTCTGTGCTGAAGATTGTATCTTTGACTATACTTAGTTACATATAATTACATATAATATTATTATATTATTATAAATTACATATAATCGCAAATACGTTTATTTGCAAATAAACGACGTGTCAAACTTAGTCGTAACAGATAGTTTTCTATCGCGAAGAAACACATTTTTATCAGAGTTTGTGTCGCAAAATTTCTACATCTAAACATTTGAATCTTGAATAGATTTGAAGATTATTAAATTTGAAAATGTTTGAACTTAAATATTAGAGAATGAGCTGATTAAATATTACATATCAAAATATTGAAGTAAATATGAAAAAAAACGTTAAATAGTGAAAAGTTAGAAAGGTAAAGAATCTGAAGGTCCGTTATCTCAGAAATCGGAAAAGATTTAGTATCGTATTACAACGTTTATATCGGAGTGTACAAAAGATAATATATTTATTGCGTCAAAGCTAATTTA